AACCTTACCCAGAATTGACAGGGCCAGCCCGTCTGGCCCCGAAAGCATAAGTTCGGAGTTGTCCCTCCTGCGGCGGAGCATCGTCGCGCGAGGGTTCTCTTCAACGCAGTTCCTTTCGCTCGGGAGTCAAAACCCGTCGCAGACGACTTAGACACTCTCGGCAAATGAATATCTTGTCCCTCGCAATGAGAAAGAGCGCAGCGAAATGCGATACTCAATGTGTATTGCAGGGGGTGAAAAAAAGAACAGGGCCAACAGCAGGATCAACAACTCATAGAATAGGTTCCTTGTTTAGGCAACGGGCACGACTATCATCCTCACCCAAATAGAATGCCCAGTCATTATAGCCTGTATTTGGGCCAACTTTCAGACCGGATGCAGTGATAATAACAGGGCGTTTTATTCGGATGAAGACGGCATTCTTCAGTAGCTTTAAACTTTGAAGTTTAAACAGGTTCCCAGCTAAAAATTCAGTTTTTTCAGTTTAGTCTGCATAGTGAAGCAGCTTAAGGAATCACGAACAGAGTCGGTCCGACTCTATAGAATAAACAGGGTCATAGTACTAGGGGAGTAGAAAAAGAACAGATTAAATTTTTCATATGAGACACTCCACTAAAGTGGGGATCAGAAGTCGACACGGCTCTTGGTTGACAAGCATATCAGATAGCAAACAATACCCGAGAGGAGCAATTAAAGGACACAACCCCATAGGCAGAAGAGCATCTCCGAACCAGAAAGAAAGGCAACAAGCACCAGGAAACTCAGTGGTAAACTACCGTCTTCAACCGAATAGAATGCCCGGTAATTATCGCCGTGTCTGGGCTGAAAGTTGTGCCAAATACAGCTATAATGACTGGGCGTTCTATTCGGGTGAAAGACGGTAGCAGGCTAACTTAGGCAGGGGTGAGGGGAGGTACATCCTTCCTGTGGAAAGCAATCAGTGCCGCCCGCTCGAGTCTCTCAACCATAATGGGAAACGTTGGAGAGTGTGTATGTCGTATTTTCCTTGACTTGCCGGTTGAATAGGCACCGCACTGATGCTCCCCAGAATGGACATGGAGCTGGAACCCTGAGGTTCTGTTTTTTTTTTTTTTTTTAAGCCAAAGAGAAAGGAAAAAAAAAAAAAAAAACAGGGCCACAATAACCTGGAATGGCACTACAAGATTTAGCAGGGGGCCCAGCAGAATGAGCTTGGAACCCGACAAGGGTAAGGTTGAGGTTAAGCCGCCAGTACACCCGAAGAAGGAGATTGAGCCTCTCCTGAAAAGTAGGAGGCCATGAACTGCCAATTCATTTTTTCGACGGTCCATGGCCTCCGAAATTTAGGAGAGGCTCAATCTGCTTTTTCGGATGTACTGGTGGTTTAAGCCTCAGAATAAACCTGCTAGAATTTACCAATAGAATAGGATGCAGGCTGAGGAGGAAGTCTGAATCGCCCGACTAGTTGATAGCTGCGCGCTGGGAGAAACACCTGGACATAGACCCCTACCAGTTAGAAAACATCCCATGGGAATGACTGATGACTGTTAGGCCACCGGGCTTTAAGAGTCTGTGATGGCTGCTATGGTACTTGGCAGTAACAGTCAACAAATGGATGAACAAGAAGTCCACTGAAAACATCCCATGGGAATGACCAACCTTCTGTGTGCCACGTAATCACAAACAGAGTTTCCCTTCCTACAGGATTTGAGCCTGTGACCTTCAACAGAACCCCCTGCTGCTCTTGCTACACCTAGAGGGTTCAAAGGACTCAATCCACACGGAAGCCAACCTTATTTGAAATTCTGAGGAAGGACTGGAACCAGATGGAGGTTAACCTATTGAGATTCTGAGGAAGGCCCTGGTATGGGGTATCTGGAGAAAGCGCTGCCAAGAAACAACAGTAAGAGAGCAATGCACGCGGGAGAAGCCTGGACCCTGATCCTGCCCCAAGTAGGAACAGCGTTCTAGGTCCTTTGGAGGATAGAAAGGCGTGAAAAGAGTGAGGAAGAGGATAAGGCGCATAAACATATGGCCAGACTCGAGGAAGCCCATTTTGGGAAGAGGAAAGATAGTAATCATCAGAGGAATGAATGTACTCATCATGCTCTGGGAGGAAATCGAAAGCCATTACTGCCCTGTAAGCAGCCCTCCCATTAGCTGCCTCGCTGGCGATAAGCATATCCTTAGTCTAAGCCTGCAGTGTGAGGTCTGAATATTCCCATGATCAACCCTTAGAGAACCTAACTCTCTGTGTAGATTGCATAGCTATCATCTTTAGCCAAAGCCGGGTAATGGCCCCGGTAACTCAAAAGTTTTTTAAATAATCTTCTCAGTATGTTTTTGAATGGGACGCTGGGCCCGGTTCCCAGCACGTGCTGCTCCCCACCAATAGATTGGAGCATGTCCAATTCAAAAAAAAAAAAAAACTGCAGTGTGAGAACAAATTCTACAAATAGGAAGCAGCAGAATTCCGTACCGATTTAGTGCCACACATGCACAAGCGGTGCACATGGTTCCTTAGAAACGGCAACGGCCTTGAGGTATCATCATTGATCTGCCCGGCCCCAGGTAATTCAGAATGATTTCATTCTGTTCATCTGATTGTATTTGGATTCGAACTTCGGTCTGTATCTCAAGGGTTCTTGAGTGTACGCACTGAGCTAGGACAGTAATGGAAACAGAACTACCATTTTCATAAAAGCTGGACGAGTTTGGTCTGTTTTTCACTGGATTTTACTGTTTGTCCGACAAACACAACAGTGGGCTGAGATGGACTATGCACCCTGACTTTCAGGCATGTTTTGTAAGGAGTGGTAGAGCTGAAAGAAAAATAGCAAAAAGGACATCGAGCTCAAAAAAATTGCGGTGTGGTGAGTGAGGGGGACGAGAAGATTGAAACAAAGAAAGCAGAGTGACAAGTACATGGACGCGACAAACGGACGAGTCAGGCAAGGCATGGCTGAGACAGGCAGGTGTTGAGAACGGGCAGGGAGATTCTGCCTTCTTCTGTCATTTCCGTCAGTCCATGGTAGTTGTAGCATGCTGACGCCGCCACACGGGCCCTGTTTGGGGGCCCGATGGTTGTTCCAGGCCCCCAGGCCGCGCATCCATTTTTGGTGAGCGACCTGGAGGCCCACCGCCATATTCCCGGTCAGGCCACCAGCATTTATTATTTTTGCTGCGTGATTCAGTTTCAGCCGTTGTAGGCCAGGTTCAGATTTGTCCTTACGTAAGACAGGACCAGGCATTTGTCTTTTGTGCCTGGCCCAGTCCTCAGGACCCTGCTGCGTCAGCAGGATTGCCTGGACGTCCGGTAGGGACCCAGGCAGGGCGTTTTTGGCCAGGATCGTAGGACCAGGACTAGGGCCTGCGATCAGGACCATCGATCGGACATCAGATCCGGCAGTCCTGATCACAGACCGAGGACTGCTCAGCCAGGCCCAGCGGTATATAGCTGGGCCAGTCCTTCACTTTGAGGGCATTCGGGCTGGAGCCTCCTTTGGGCGTCACACTGCTGGAGCAGCGCCAGTTTGGGGAGAGCTGCTATAAAGCAGCGCTAGAGGATTAGAAGAGTAGGCTTGAATGGAGAGATTTGGTGGAGGCCAGGTCCACAAGGGAGAGAGAGACTTACCTGGGCGCCATAGCTGGTACTTCATACCGGTAATGGGACCGGCCTTCAGCAGCGACCTGCATCGGGAGTCATCGCCTTCGCTGGTCAGTATTCACGACATCGTCATCAGGAGCGTGTGAGAGAGGAGAATTCTTCTTCTTCTTCTTCTTCTTCTTCTTCTTCTTCTCCTGATTCTTCTCCGCTCCTCCATAGCCACTGTTCTTCTTCTTCTCCTCCTCCCTCTTCTCTTCTACCTCTTCAGATAGATAGATAGATAGATAGATAGATAGATAGATAGAGATAGATAGATAGATAGATAGATAGATAGATAGAGAGAGAGAGAGAGAGAGAGAGAGAGAGAGAGAGAGANGAGAGAGAGAGAGAGAGAGAGAGAGAGAGAGAGAGAGAGAGAGAGAGAGAGAGAGAGAGAGAGAGAGAGAGAGAGAGAGAGAGAGATCAGGCAGTAACTATTTCGCGTCGTGGAGCCCAGGATCTGATTCGACATTTTTGAAGACAGACATTGGTTGGACATTTGTCGGGGAGACTATTTCTTGGAGGACTACGAGTTCTACTCATCCTACTTCCCCTCTCCGTCTTTGTCTCTCCTCCCCTTTCATCATCCGTGGTTTCTCCCCATGTGTGTGCGCAAGGAGGGATCTTTCTGTGTGTATGATTTCCCTCCTTGCTGTGCGACGTGTGTGATGATGATTGTGTGAGTCGAGTCTGGATCTGATGTGTCAGGTCATATCTTCAAGTCTTCCGCTGTGCTACATTGCATTATCTCGTTTTGTTTTGAGTCCTGTTCATCACACTGGCGCTCCTTGGACATCTGCACCGCTCATCTTCAGATGAGCATGCATCAGTAGGTGACTGAGAGGGACATTTCTGGATGCTCTACAGTATCAGGTTAGGGGGGGACAAAGGAATAAAGAACTAGTCCGTTTTTCTATAAGCACTCACGCGCCTATGGGGCAAAGGCATGAAGTGTAAAATACGCTGAAGAATCAATACTCGGACGATTGATTCTTACTCTTTTCTCTATGTGTATTGCTGTTTTGGGGGGGCTTAAGGGAGCTAGCGGAAGCAGGCGTGGATGGCTAGTACATCGGATTCCTGACTGATCCAGAGACTAATGCACGCTGCTGTCTCAAGATCGCTTGACTATACCGAAGGGAGGTGTTGAGTGGGTTTCAGATGTGAAGAATGCTCAACCCCGTTTCCAGGTTCTAATGAAAAAGTGGGAAAAACAAAAACGAGAGCCAACATCATAAGGTCTCATTTTACAGCCCACAATTAAGTAATCAATTCATTGAATTGAATTACTTAATTAATATTGATTTAATAATGATTAACTTTTGTTGGCAATAACTATAATTAAGTAATCTAAAAGAATAAGTTAAATGTTTACCCAGTACTTGTAAACTGTACGCTCCAGTATGGAAGTGTTCTGGCTGACCCGCGCCTGCTCCGACAAAAGCAGTTCACACAATCTGAAATTCATGAACTGATCTTTCTCAGATTCCAGCAGTGTCAGATCCGGAACAGGTTCGGCACTGTCTCTTGCTCCATCCATTTCAAAAGCATCTGCCCGGATGAATCCCCCGCCATATGGAACGATTCCTGGATTCCCTGGAAGAGAATGGTTCCGCTTCTTATTGAATGCGCATGCCAACTTTTGCCCTCCATCAACTCCTCCCGGCCTCCCACCTCTCCCACCAAGGTTCCAATCACACTGGGAATATTGACTACTATCGCAGCTCCCGTACTCCTGAAATTGCAGGTTGCTCCTCTCCCATGCTCCTCTGCCAATCCCTCCCCATTCACCTTTGTCTTCATACATTCGCGACCGCGATTGTCTCGAGAAAAACTCACTCCGTTTACCTGCTGTCCAACTGGCAGGAGTCCTCGCCCAATCCCGCTTTATCTGTCGACGCATTTGTGAGTACCCTTCATTTTGCCTCTCATGTGAGACGCTGGGCGTCTCTGCACACCAGTCTACATCCTTGCCTAAACTTCCATGGCCTTCACCACCCGCCAAGAATTCCTGCAAGTTCAGAGACAGAAGCAAATCGCCATGACGAAAACGCTCTAAGCTCCATCTCGAAGAAAACAACCCCCCCCCTGCCTCTGCCAACCTTCAAAGGGCACAAATAGCAGTCAAACCCTCAAACCTTCGCCTCTGAGTCCGTCAATGCCAAACAAATTACCTTGGCATTATAGACCAGTAGCAAACCCTGCCAAGAGTCCTGATAGAATACAACATCCACAACATATTCATGAACCTGAAGATTTCCCAGCCCAGGCAAAAAGCAGATCTACAGGTAGCATACTCTTGCATTCAGAGCATCCTTGCACTAGGCCTTTCCCGGATGGATGCATGTTAAGTGTAATAAGGTCAAGATTAAGTCAAGAATGCGCAATTGTAAGTGCGCCCTTTATTGAGAAACAGAGGTCCGCCAGCGGAAGCAAATAATAGAGCTCTTTTCCCACACTTTCGATTAATCCCTTCAGCGATAGGACCGGGGTTGTCACGCGGGGATCCCCGGGGTCGCCGGCCCCCGCACCACCGCCCCCGCCACCACTGGACCGGTGCCCCCGACCATCCACCCCTGGCGGGCACCCCAGCAGCGGGGAAGCCCGCCACCCCC